TTAAACGTACCCCTCCTTTTAATAAAAAGTGCACCGAAAACTTGTAAACCAAATTATGTCATTGCGATAATGAGGCCTCTGCAAATAGAGCAGCCGTCAAAAACCACCCAACATCTGCAGACTGCACGTGTTGACAAGGACCCAAGCGAAACTGAGTAAGGGACGGGAACCGGGGAACTGGCAGCCCTCTGTAACCGTCCACCATTTGACAGAGTCACGAACCCTTACACACACCTCCCTACTACCATTAACCTGTTCTTCTGTACTTAAGCCCGTCACCACCTTCTTATCACTGGGATCATCTGTCCTCATCTACTTGCTACTGCTAATGTGGGGTTTTTGTACGGCGCTGTTATTTGGCGACCAAAGGGGGCCTGCTGAGGGCTTTTCTTTGTGGGGGTTTCTCAGGGAAGCATTTTGGTGGGTTTAATGTTCTGTCTTCTTCTTCAGTAGACTGTGCTAATAGTTCTGTAGGTTGGAATTATGGACCGTAATCTACTCAGGTTAATTTTTATTATCGACTGGTATAAAGCGTTGTTTAGGGCTGGGTTGGTTGATTTAGCAACAAATATTATGTCATCCGGCGATGATTCTGAGATAGTAGATCCCAACCCATTATTTTAATATTTTATTTGTTGTCATCAACCTTGAGGCATGTAATTACGGCTACGCGAAAACTATACCTCAACTTACGTCTCTACAGTATACCGATAGTAAAACTGAGTTTATTAATAGTAATCAGGCCAGCGCCGATAGGCGGCTGTTAAATTGCCCTCCTATTACAAATAAGAACCCTTACTCGTGTACCACTTCTAGTTCCACTTCTCACTATATGCGTTCTTGTGACGTGTATATTGTTTATTACTTCCTGCGTATCAGTGATAGTTCACGAATTGGAGTTTTTAATAACCGTCTAGTCACTGTTACTGTTAGGAAGTGTCTACATCTAAAGTTAACGGTAGCTAATATAACGTTTTATACTTTTATTATTAGAACACCAAACTTTCTATTACCATCATGTTATTGTTAGCTCCACTATTTCCTCTGTTTCCCCGCTACAACAAACATAACCGCGCTGTGTTTGTCTTTAACAGAACTGCAGCCTTCTGCAACACTCAGGGTCACGTGCTACTTCACGAACAGTTTTCCAGACCGGCATTTGTTTCCACAAAGCCGCTGCTCGACCAACCAGTCGCGTGTTGTGCTTTAGGTGATGTAACCTGTCATGTGATGATCATGTGACATGGAGTCTTTGAACGTTGATGCACATTCATTGTGCAGTCTTTCCTTGGATTAAAAAGGTCTATAAAAGGATCTAAACAATTGCTCTGTAGGTTCGATCTTTTCTGCTCTTTCCTCCGTGCAGTGGAGCAAGTCTTTGTGTTATTTAATTCCCTTCTTTTGCTTGTTTTATTTGATTTGGCTTCGGTTAAGTGACGTTATGGCCATTATTACGAATTCTACCAATACTGATAGCTAAGTGATTTGCCAATGACGTTTCTGGGCGAATCTTCTGCCGTTTAGGGCATTGGAGGCATGGCTAATTTTAGCTTGAAAGCCCACCGTATAGCCCTTTGCCAGACCTTTTACTCCGGCCGTCAACAGTTCGCGTCCGTCAGTTTTCTGTCGTCTCAAGAAACAAGGTCTTACAAGACACTGCACCAATTCTAAGGGGGCCAATTACCCTGATTGGTGTTGATTGCCACCCAATTACAACCTCACTTTTTGACCCCGGCCCAGGCACTGGCAGGATTTCGATCCGGCCACTGCTACCCTCCAGGGACATTGAGCTTGTTGAGGCATTTCAAGTCCTCTTCAGGGCACTAACTCGCACGACAAGTCTTTAGTGTTGCTGTCACTCAGGCGTGAAGTGCTGATTGGTGCGGAGTTGTCTAGCGTCTCCCGAGACCGTTGTAACCGTGATCAGACACTCTTTCTCTTTCTCTCACTTAGAGAAACCTGGTCTGCTACAACAGTCCAATTGTTTCGATATCATCCCCGATTGTTCCTGTCATCGGGTCTTAATTTGTAATTTTCCCTGGGAACATGGTTTATCGGTAACAGATGACACTTGTTAAACCACTTCCAAAGTCTCAGCTCACTTTGATAATATCTCGCTGCAGCAGTTTCAACTGGTTGGACCTCGGTGCCAAGTCAAAATCGAGCTTTTGGAATCTTTTGAAGTTAAACCGGACATATGATGAGCACTGACATAACCAATTTGTCTTTGAGGCATCTTATCCGGGAACAGTGACTTCACCATTGATTGCTACATTGCACAGCATGCAAGTTTGACACATATTCACAAACTATATTATTGGATAATTTTGACATTTGTCATATCAAGCTAATTCATAAACTCTTTTGTTTGGAGCCGACAGCTTATAAGTTCGACCTACCACAACTTATGTTTTAGTGGTTTTGCAATCTCTATTTCAACGGTTTTCTTGGAATTCATTTCCAAAGTGGATGGACGATGGAGAGGATTCCTTTGTTGTACCTCGATTGGTTGTGATAATTTTCAGAATAGTTCAATGTCTATGACCCCCTCTTTTGAGAAATTTCAAAACAAAATATTTTAATCTGTGACATATATCGCCCCCAAATTTGTCACTTGTGGTTTAAGGGCCCAACTTATAAGTTCAAACAGACTCATAGTTGTATCTGAAGAGTTGCAATATAGTCCAACATGAGAATGCTCTGGAACTTCTAGTGTTGTGTAAGAAATCTTTCTCTTGTTCGAAATGCGTTAAATCTGCAATTACTTCCTCAACTCAAAGATCAATCTCAGCCAAAGTATTTTGTAATTTAGTGTCGAACATCAACATGTGAGCATCCTAGGTATTTTTCCCGTCGGGTTGTTTTGAATAGTGATCGACTTTAATATCCTGAGGAATTTCTGCCAGTAGGTGCATTAAATCATGATCGATGTTCGTGGTGGAGATACGACAGTTCGTCCTGTGGAAGTAGGACTGACAGCAGGAATTTCTGAAGTGTAACCCAAATCATTGTCTCAATGTGTCTGAAGATTTATCGATGTTAACATTTCCGCAATTTTTGTCACCATGCCACCGTCAGAGCAAACGTAAAGCACCCAAAAATAGTAAAATAAATACTCTCCTTCTCCTCGATCCTTGGTTATTTGACGCACTACCAAATTCCTCCTCCTACTTCTCAAGTTTGGCCTGTAATCATGGTGTGAGGATGTGACCACTACCCAGCATTTCACCGCTCAGTGCCATCATCCTCCCCAACTACTACTTTCAAATTAGCTAAAGAAGTCATCGGGCATTAGTGCAGATCATTCGCGCTTGACAGCACCCGATCTTTTCCCAAAACTTACAAATGTGTACTCTCGTTAGTACTGTTTAACGTTTTTACAGCTGCACTCGGTTTTTGGTCCTGTTCACGCTTGTTTTTTGACTGCCGGAGAGACTATCAAAAAAGCCTAATGCTCAGTTTTCCTGTTTTTGTGGCGTCGTTTCAAGAGGTGATCGTCAGTTTTGGGAGGTCCTATAATTTGCACCTGGAAGTGAGAAACACCTGTAAGCGCTATTTGAACGGTTTCCCTATTTCAACAAACCCTCCCTTTTTTGATGATCCAACTGATTTTTTCGTTGTTGTAAATTATCGAGTCGTCACAAGCACTGTGGACACTATTTACATTGCGACACTGAATAAACTATCACACAACCAATACCTCATTTGTCAAATCCGTGTTGTCAAAATTTGAGACATCAGTTTACCAAAATGTTTAAAATCCTGGTCTTCACACTTACGTTCGGGGTAAAATTAGTTCCAATAGTCGCGTAGGATTGTCCGATATATTTACTGCTCGCTGACTCAGTAATTGTTTATCTCCTAAGCTTTACTGGTTTTCTTACATATAATATTGGTTTTGATAGACGTTGTACGATATCTAGCTCGGTCTTCCTGTGTGTATTGGGCATGGCAAGTCTGGGACTCAATTATTCAATTGTTATAATTTGCACCATTAATTCGATGTTAATTTCATGTGTATTTATATTTTAGTATTAATTTTTTATCAGTCTGGAAAAGAATATACAGACTCACATCGTTTAATAGAAGTTGTCTATGCTATTAAACATAATAATTTGTGTACGCATTTAAGGTGTTTTTCGCCCATAGAATTGAGGTTTCTCGAGTAAACACATAGTTGTTAATGTTAATACAGATAAGCTGTCTCAAACTCAAAGTAGGACTTGAAAGAAAAATGTCGAGCTTGATGAGGCTGTCACGGGGTAGCTGAAATTCCAAAGTTCTTCCCGCTCAAAGGAAAACACTGCCAACAAAGCCAAAATAACTGTTAACCTTAAAAAAACGCTGCTGTCGGTTGAAACCTTTTTCTAGTTTGTGTTGCTCATGAATTTCGGCCTAAATTTCCTTGATTGAAGAATTGTGTTACAAGTTGCAAACTATTCTATTCTTCAGCTCAAATTAATTACAAATCTATGTTGTACGTATTTCTAGAGACAATCATTGCATTCATCATCAATGTGTTTCCTGTTTTGTACATTGAAGGTTGTGATTGTAGTTATTTCCCCTTCATTCACCCCAATTTCACAGTTATAGCGAGATCATGGAGTTACGAATCTTGCTTGTTCAGCTAACATTGGTTTGGTTCGGAGGGGCTGTGTACTCTTCAAACATTTGCAGAAAAAGGTATAAAAATCGTAACTTTTTAAATTTTGACAACATTGTTTGAAAGCCCAACGTCTTTTGAGCTACCCAGTAGATAACATTAATTGATAGGTTTTTCATTTGTGAAAATTAAAAGGTTTTCACATTTTAGTTTAGTGTGGCATGTTCAGTCCTCAAAAGGCCAAAAGTTTTTTGCAAATTATCAGCGATGAGGTAGTACTGAAAGTGAACATCCTGCCAGTTGATTTGTGTTGAGTATGACGTTATCATCCTGTTAGAATGATAACATCACCTTTATCACTTATCAAGTTTGAGATCAGGATTATAAATAACCTATAAACATTTCAGTGACATATCAGTGACGGATCCGAAAGTCACGATCAAATCCTTCACCTCCTCACTCGACCTCACCAAGGAAGACATTGTCACTTCCAAAATGGTCGTCGGATGTCCGAAGGTTTGACTTATTTCACTACTTTTTTTGACAGGTTTCTTCTCCCTGTCTTCATCTCATTCTTGGTTCCTCCTAGCGATGTTTTGATGAAGTTCACTGAACTTGGCGCCGGGCACGTTCTAACCTTACTTTCTTTTTAAAAAAAGCACAAGACTTTTAGGCGTGTGGTTTCTCATTTCTCAAAATATATTTATTTTCTGACCACGATAGAGCTTCTTGTTCTTAACACCTATTTTCGGTTTCGCTCCTACACCCCAAATTGGGCATTTCAAATTAGCAGGCTTCTTTTCACTAAAGTCTCCACAAGAAGTATATTATAATAAAGAAAATAGACCCCACAATACATCTCACCCCGTCTGTCACACATGTATCTGCACACGATAAGACGCGAGTATATCTGACGTGCCCACTGCCCTGAACTTGACACACGAGTCCGTCCTCTCTCGACCCTGGTGCCCTAACTAACTGTCGAAATCCGTTGCCGCCCTGGTTGCTCTCTTGTCGCATGTTTCCTTCCAGCCAATGGGAGAGTAGAAGTGCGGTCACGTGGTTCGGGGGAACCAATCATTGTGGCGAGAGTTCCGGTGACATGACTTCGGGGTTTTTGTGTGTCGGGTGTGGGGGAGAGAGCATGTTATATAGGGTGATAAAGTGCGACATTTTAAATGGCACTGTACCGGGATAAAGCAGTGCCGAAGTGGAGTACTATAGATCAGACCTGAAGAAAACCAACAATGCTGGAGCGTAACTTCCGATCGTTTTAAAACCCAGTCTCAATTATCGATTGTTACTTTATAGCAAGGCCAAGACATTTCTGATGTAAGTCATCATCTTTGGCGTGATCCGGCCCGTGCTTCATTTTACAACTGTGGGGGATCATTTCTCACTAACTCTTTAACGACACACTCCTATTAACTCATCCCCATAACACGATATTAACAACCCGGTAACACTATTTTACCGGCTCCTTTACGTGTTAAAACTAAGCTCAAGAACATCACAAAAACGTAATTAAGTACCCGCTTTTAACATGAAAACGTGCCATTTCAGCGAGCTTAGTAACTTCTAAAATTAAAGGTTTCTTTGACAAAAAACCAGGATAGAGGCTTAGTACTGGTCATTCACACTGGTTGCGGTCGTACAAATCTGTAGGCCGAAAATAGTCAACCTGTTCCATGTTGGAGTAGGCAACATGGACTCCTAGTTAACACCCTGAGTCCTGACCAATAACTGGGAGTCAAGGCACTACATGATACAACACAAAATGTGTTGTAGCGCGGCCGTGGCTCATGATTTGAGTAGAAACTAATTTCACTCAAAAATTTAGCTGACACCAGCACTCGTTACTAAACATATATCAATATTTTATTAACGCTGACAAGTTCCTCCCATTCACTGTTCTCGACTAACGATCAATCAGCATAAAATAATATGAATGCTAGTAAACTAACGAGTATGACTCAGATTGTATAAAATTCTGGTTTCAGGGATATCAAATGAGAGTGGATTACGCGTGGACCTACCAAACATACGAGCAGCCAAATGGGAACACTTTAATAGAAGTTAACTGTTCCCAGCTATATGCGTTAGATGACAAACAGATCTGCTTCCAAGGATGCCCGTAAGTGACAACACATCATATCAGTGAATATTTTTTAAACTAGCTCGTCATATATCACTCTTTCGGAATATATTAATTAATATAAACGTAATTAACAAGGAGACTTTATCACCACGAGGCCACTGGGAGTAGGAGGTTGACGGTCTTTCTACTAACCAACAAACCGTTACCGCCAGGTTACCTAAGCTGGACAACGCAGTGGTGTCTCCCTTACCGTTCCGTTCCAAAGCTGGAGCTCCATATAACGAGGGAGAAATAGTTCAGGTTAGTGTTAAATGGAGAGGGGGGATCCTGGAAAGGGGAGCAAATATTAGTTATTTTAACTCTTTGCTGTACTTTAAATGGATCCTGAATTGAGATTTGAGAGATATTATGATGATTGATGCAATATCGTCAGTTTTTAGTTAACATAAAGATGGGAACGCTATTTTTAAAATCGCCAATATCTTGAACTTGACGAAGAATTTGTTTCCTTCAGGTGAGATGTGGTGAGGACACGATAGTCTCCTCGTGTAGACAGAGTTTGTGGACGAACCTGAGCGAGTACAGCTGTCCTAAGAGCAACACCAGCAGCAGATCCTTGAGTCTGGTGATAGACACCACCACCAATATGGGAGAGGAAATAACACAGGTTTGTGGATCTTCAAAGCTGATGTTTATCAGGATTTTCTGATAAATGTTGACATATTGTGTTATTTGACTTTTTGAATACCTAGTTCTTTTCTACGACATGAGAGCTTGCTCATTTAGAAATCTATATCCTATTCACGTTTGTATAACATCATTGCTATGTCTATAATCTTATAATGAACCGATAACTGTCACACGATCACACCAGCTAAATGACGTACACGTAACTCGTGCCAAGTACTTATAATGTCTGCCATTGCCCCATGAACACGTGCGTTGTACGGTTTTACCACCTACCTGAGCGCCGCGCCAATTTCACCACCTTCTTACCCAGCACTCGATCATTTGAACTTGATTTGAGGTCGTTCAAAAAGTCAACAGTCTGTCTTCTGTGATGTGTGAACGTCTACATGGCTGCTATGATTAATTTTAAACTTAGTCAGTGCAAGATAGTACTCGCAGACGAAGTTCTACACTACAAGCAGCCCTTCTAGTTCATCATCTCCAGAAAGAGAGAACCTTCTAGTTCATCATCTCCAGAGAGAGAGAGAGAGAGAAAGAGAGAGAATCTTATGATTTCAGCTCTTACCCGGACTGTCTGAGAATCAAACCCCCTAACTCCCCCTTTACCCAGGTGTACGATATAGCTGTAGGTCTGGTGGAAACTGTAACTAAATCTGAAGAGGAGAGACCGGTGAACTACGTGCTGGTTCCCTTCAACGATCCTGACTTCTATCCCATGTTGGTGACCTTCAACGGAACCATCCTCCTCAGACATCTGGGTATCATTAACTCTCATGGCGCCAGCGGGGGCAAGGTACTATAGATACTGGCTTGAAATTTCCAATATTTACATTCCAGTATTCCTAGTATTTTAATTGAGATTTAACAAACCTGGTGTAATGTATGGAATGCCAGAAATGAACGAGAGGAACTCACAAAAGTTCGCGGTCGAAGTGAAATCTTTAATGTTGCTGTCTAAATGTTGAGATCAGGACGTCAATTCGTCTCGATCATTTGTCAATGTTGGGCATGCAGTCGACTTAAAGGGTTATTGAAAATGGAAATTACTGCTGAGTAATTCTATGTCACACATATCATAGCCCTCGTGATACTATTTTGTATCAATTATTAAGGCATAAAGTCAAACCACAACCTACTACACTCTCGGAGTCTCGGTGCAATGATATAGGCCGATACTTAAAAAATTGAGGTACAGGAAATTGAGGTTAAAGTGAGGTTATGCTGTAATAAAATAACTCACTGTTTCCTTGACAGGACTGTCCAGAGTTGACGTTAGCAGCAATCCAGCGAGCAATACACGAGAGCTACTCCGGTTCAGAGATATTCGTCTTCACTGACGCCAGTGAGTACTGAATTAGGGATTACCCAATTTGTAAATAATCTTTTAAAACTATTTGATGTGCATGTGATTTGATGTAAAGATTTTGGTTTTAAACCACAAATTGTTTCTTTTTAACCCCAAAGCACCGTTCTGTGGTATATTTTCCGCTGTTAGTAAGAATTTATTTAAACTCAAGTTAGACTAAATAATTCTTATATCATCAAATAAGTGACAGGGGGTTGTCTGACTTAATCTGGTTTAAACTTATACCAACGTTAAAACCAACGATCTTACTTACTGAATGGTGTCATTTACTGAATGGTGTAACTGTAAGCTCGCGACGTTTCCTGCTTTATCTGCATACCGTCAATTATTTCCCTTTGTTAGCTCATCAAACATTGACTGAACAAGATTTTAAGATTTACGTTTCACTCCCCTCAAACGTTCATCCTCATTCATCACCATCTTCTCATCTCATCGGGAATATTATCTACACCTCTAGAGGATTAGATAACTTCCTCAACTTCCTCTGTGCTGCAATATTATACTAAGAGTTCAGCACGTAGCCACGCCACATGAACATAGTGTAAGGTTGACTTGTACTGTTTCCTATGGAGGACTCAATTACATAGAATAAAACTGCTCATCTAGGCTGCAGGGGACCCGATTCCTAATACGAGTTCCAACTTAACATCATGACATCTTGACAGCGTAATTGGTTTGATCAGCGAAACTGTCAGTGTCACTTAAAGCAAGTTACATCATGTGGGGGTGTCCTGATAAAGTGCTAACAATAACTGAGCCTCTTGTTTAGGGTTTAATTTTATTCAATTGTCAATGCACCCATATCTATTGCTAACAGTTACCCGGGGGATAGAAGTGTGCCCAAGTTTATGCTTACAGACGCTAACTACCAATAAACGTTGAGAGGGCGTGCTAGACCACCCATATAGCCATATCTACCGATTTGTCACATAGTCAAATTACAATTCACCGTTTTATGTAACAATAATCCAGAATAAAGTTAGAACTCGTGATTAAAGTAGCAAATTAAATTTGTTAGGACTGTTAAACTAGCTAACCCCTCAGGCAGCAAGGAGCCGGAACGGAAGGACGCGATTATCGAGGAAGCAACTCAAAAGCGGATAAAAGTTAACTTTATTCTGACGGGCCATTGTGGGGAAAACCAAATGGTGGACCAGGCTATGTACGCTGAGATCGCAGACGCAACCAATGGATTTGTGAGTAAAGTGTAGTGTGAACGTCTTTAGTTTTCAGCTCCACAAACTTTAAGACGAGTTAAATAAAACTTTTGCAATCGTCTGAGTGCGTTAATTCTATGGTTATGCAAAGTAACATGAAGATATAATATTTCCATGTGTTTGACCAACCCCTACTGTTACCAGATGGTGTCAGTGGCAAAGGCCCAGGTCCGGGAAATATCCAGTCTTATGGAGGGAGCCTTGATGAGGAATCAAGATGTAGTCCACCAAGTTATACACGTTGATGATGACGACGAGTATAACGTAGTTCAGGTAAGTTAAGTTAAAATTATCATTGTAGATATTTACAGTTTGTTCGTTCTGTTTTTATTGTACCTTTTTTCCTTGATCCTTAATCTCGACATTAAAATTTGATGTTTCCTTTAAAATTCAAGTCTTTGCCTGCTCCACCCAATTGTAAGCAAGCTAAAAGCTCTAATCCATTTTTAGGTTTCCCTCTCAATAACAACATTCCCCAGATCCCATGTGATAAGCGAGTACACCGGATGATAGTGAGCGTATCTTGTAGCAGTGTGAGGATCGTATCAGTATCTGACGATAAGAATAACGATATCAGATACCAGCATGTATCCACCTTGCGGGATATGATGACCATCAGCTTGCAGCCTTCTATTGCTGGTACTTAAATCTTCGTGGGATATTTTCATGATCACTATCAATGTTATATGAATGCAGCTGTTATTTCTCGTCAGCCAGCGAGCATACTCATCAGGTTGCCGAACAGGTTACCAAGTTACTAACCAAGTTAATATAACCAGGTTACTAACCAGGTAACTAACCAAGTAACTAACCAAGTAACTAGCCAAGTTACTAACCAAGTAACTAACCAAGTTACTAACAAAGTTACTAACCAAGTTACTAACCAGGTTACTAACCAGGTCACCACCAAGTTTCTAACTTTGTAACTTCCCCCTCAGAGTACGTTAACGTTAACATATCGTGCAGCGAGAGGGGGAGTGCTGTTGTAACCGCTAACACTGTTACTGATATCTCCTTCTCTTATAATTTCTTCCTGCACGAGGTTAGTTCATTTTCAAAAACGAGATCGTTAGATATATTTAAAACAATGAATCTTAATTTAAATCACTATTCATTGCTGATTGATTTATGATTATATTCTACTTGGATTGCTAAGATATATGTCTTAAAGCTAAAACTGATCAGTTTCATTGTCCCTCTAAATAGCCCGATCGCACAGGTTGACGACACGTTAGAACTAACAGAGACCCTAGACTCGGGCAGCAGAGCAGTGGTGTACGTAGTGTTCGGAGCAGCAGTGTATGATGTAGTAGTCAGCACAGTCATCTCAAATCAACCTGGCGAACCTGTTGCTATGAAGGTAGGATAAATGTAGGATGTATATTGTGTAAGATGTAGGATATCTGCAGATACAGACTCTTCTCGTGGTTCTGTTCCTTTTAAATTTAAAACCTGCACGATTATTGCACGTGTAAAAATAAGTTTCCATAACAGTTTACCCGTGAAGTTTGGAATAAGAATAGGAATGACGTAACCGTGTTGTTACGGTAGACTCACATATTGTTGCCTACCTGGCTGATAACAAATTAGGAACTTTAGAACCGCTTTCATTGCAAGTCACACCTCGCCCTGTAACACGCCGCCGCTATACCATTATTACCAATAATTTGTAAATTGCTTTCCAAGACAGTGCGAGATATATGCTGCAATTTTTGTAACATCAGCTGGTGAATTGCGGGATTCAGTTTTATTTTATTTATAGAGTTACAATGTGACCTAAAAATAAACATTTTGTGTCGAATGTCGTCGACACGAGCTCACATCCTTCAAGGCTCAAACATTAGCAACTTTCGAACTGGCACTGCATGACAGTATTAAGTTAAAGTACGTAGACATTATGTGAAATGCTCGATCTGATCGTGAGAACCAAACACTCTTCAATTACTGTTTACTAACAATAATTGTGTTGCTTCGGAGGGCAAAACACGGATTAATAATAACTTAAAATCCCCGGGTTGCACTTAGTCTGCGGTGAGCTGCGTGAATCTGAGAGCAAAACACAAATCAATTACTAACAAATATTTTTTTACTTCTGCTGCCCTCAATTACAATTCTCCAACCCGTTCTACACGACTAAAGACAAGTTTTACCTTTTCAGAAGTACCTGGGAGGGTACATGGCAGAGTTGGAGGTACCGGACTTCATTTTCCATCTGCAGTTCCAGGCCAAGTACTCGGGACAAATCATTCAGAGGCTCTCGGCTCCTGTCGTTCCCAGAATAGGTTAGTTTTTATAGTTCTTCAATTGTGATTTTCATGGAATTAACGAGATGGATCAGTTAAACAAATTTAAATTGTCTTATGGTATTCAGACTTGGGAAAAGCCGAATAGGATATATAAATATAACATGTGTTACAACTAACTGCAAGTGCAAAGCCATTGAATGAATTATTTGTGTTTAAAAGAGCCCAACTGACGGTTGCTGGACTTATTTCAACGATAGGAATCTTTGAGTCGATTTATTCTCAAAGAAAAAAGGAAATCCTAGATTCGCCCTATCATGAGCCCCCATGGCCGTATGTGTCGCCACTACCACTGGTACTGCTAGAAGAGTTACTGTTGTGAAGCAGATCACGTTTGTTAAAAACCCGATATTTGCAACAGTTTCCGAACATTTTATTGGCTGCACCCTGGCAGCCACGTGACTTATGAAATCGCTGCAAACATTCATGCGAAATTGGGGGCCCTGGTTAATCGGAACTGACCTATTTTGATAATATATCCTATATACGCATCGGGTTTTATGAAGTAAATGAGCTTAAAAGCTTTTATTTTGGTATACCATACACTCGTGAAAATGATTATAAGTGGCATACAAAAAATTGTCAACGGAAATGTTAAAAAATCTGTCATGAAGCTATGAATGTTAGCAAAATTAGCCCTTAAAAACCTAAATACGTGTTTATTTTAAATATGGGAGTGACATTTTAAGCGGAAAAAGTCGTACAAAATCAGATCTGTGCTTTATTATATTTGAGTCTGACACTCTTCCCTGGTTCAGGTTGTCAGTCCCTGTCTACAACTACAGCACTTCCCAGTACCCTCCTCACTAAGGATCGGACAGTGGTCAGCTTCACGTGCAATAACGTGTGCGCGGCTCTCTCACACACAAACGACCTTGTCTGTAACTATGGAAACTGGACAAAGGAACCACCTCACTGCTCTGACGCTGGTATGTTTTTGTAGGATTACTATAATTCACAAATTTGTTACAATGGCAACAATGTTTTATGTTACCCTGACAACCGTATTACTATTACAACCGTTTTACTATTACAACCTTGTTACCATTACAACCATCAACCATGTTACCATGAAAACTATATAATTACCATGACAACTACGTAGGTTACACCTGTGCTGAGCTACCTGGACCTGGAAATGGAACTCTTCTCTACAAGAACCAGGTTGTCTACTCTGTTGCTGGAGCAAAGTGCGGTGAATCTGTTGAGGTGACTTTAACTTGGCAGCTTGAATTGTTGATATCAGGATTATTGGTTGCTTGATGATTGAGTTGGTTAATGGATGAATAATCTCACGATTTCATAAAATTTTCCGATATACAAGTCCTCAAAAATGCATCAACAATTAACAATAATTTCGATAGGAATGATAAAGTATAGTATTAAGAATAAAATTGTTTGCCAGGTTCATTGCAACACGTATTTTGAGCTGGACGGTGAGACTGAAGCCAACTGTACACCCTACGGCTGGAGTAACAAGAAAAACGTCTGTATACGTAAGTACCTGTAGGCCCCTTCAATAACCCTTCAAAGCAGCTCTCATCACTCACCGCTCAACTGGGTCTCTCACCCTTCACGGTCACCAGTTACTTCTTTACCCATTTTATTTACTAATCATCTATAATTAAATCTCCCCACATTTGATTGTATCACTGGCAGCTCTCCAGTTCCACTCTTTACTGACTCCTCCTTCTACTTTTCAGCGATGTCAGAGATGAGAACGAGGTTACGAGAGTATTGAGTGAGTGGTGGATGTGGGTTGTGATCAGCGTTACAGCTGTTGTCACTCTGTCCGTACTCAGCACTGTTATCTGTATTCTCGTCATCAGGGTTAGTCACTGGGTTAGATCGACTAGTACAGCGGAACAATTTTGATTATCGTCGAGCACAACTCCATATTTTTCCTACAGGGAAACATTTGGTATTGACAGATGTCCATGACAGTCGTGCCACACAATTTGTTACTGTTGTAAGCATTAACTCTCTGAACAACTTACTCAATTTGTTAAATCCTAATAAAGCTAACTTATAAAAAAGAGATCAAATTGTTTGATGTCAACCCTGTAGACTTATAGAAAAGTCCTTAATTCTTAAAATTCCTCAGCGAGGCAAGAGGAAGAGACCGCTGAGGTTAGAGTACGAGACCGGTCGAGGGAATGTCAGACTTCCTTCGGAAAGGGACGCTCTAAACTTAGATGAGGATCTGTACGAGGTGTGTTATAACGCGAGATTAATATCTTTCTGATACAACTTTCCTATACAGTTGACTGGTTATGAAATTTTCGCGCAATATTCTGTGTTTTGTTAATAGATATCTAATAACAGTGATAACACATAGCGACTCTATTGCTTGGTCTGATGACATACATGATAGCTGTATAATCAATTGTCTTGCGGGCTCGTGAATTATACAGGATAAATCTGTAATCCTAGCAAACACTATAACTAGCGTTATTCATGTAATGTTATAAGTATAACCCCGCTCCGTGTCATCCTGATGCACCATGTCAGTGTCATCAGCCTCAATCCTGACAGTTCAAAATTACAGTTCGCAAGATTATCTCCAGCTCAAGGTACCATATCCAATGCACTAATGCCAATGGGAACTGTTATCTGGATCTGACCAAACATACTCCTCAGGTAGTGGACAGTAACGGAAACTATCCGAACAGCTGTCAGTACAGTACAGGGTGTCAGCCCCTGTGTCCCACTGACTCCATGATCAGGAACAGGCCCCCGATGCCACCTCCACTCCACAGTAACTCCTACGGTAACCTCCCCAACAACATGTCCTCAAATCCCCTGTACAGTTGCAGCAGAGCTGGCAACACTAACGTCAACGGTTGGTTCAAGTTTCTTTCTTTGTTCTAACACATTTTTTTCCTGCTGTCTAATGTTTTTTGATTGATTTTGTTGTTCAATTATAGGGGAAGATTCAAATGTTAATATTAATTGTCCGTACCGTGTCCAGTAGGACTAGATGAGACACGCTTTCTATAGGTAAGTTTTGTGTCGTCAGGCCATGACCTCTCGGAGATCCAAAATAGCATAATTATGTCAGGTCCTAATCAGCATAATCGTATTGGTTGGGACTGCACACGAACTACTTGCATGATGTATTGGTGGGTTGTACGGTTGTCAGTTGTCACTGATAACCTCTACACTTATCATGACTGAAGAGCATGTGTTTCTAAAGGGCAATTAGTTGGCTACACCGGGGGAGGCAACTTGAATGTAGTATGATAAGATTACAACTGAATGTCCTGTCATAAAATCTGGGGACTTGACTGATCATTTATAGATGATGAATAGAAACGCATTTAAATCATCCTTGCTTCATTTCTTAAAGTTTTAATCTTGCACGAAATGATATAGTAATGAATGTACAGGAGGAGGTAACGACTATATGCCAATGTCTGGCGACATCAGATCCAACAGTATGATATACGAGGAAATGGCAGCCCAAACTCTGACTCAGCCCGCCAACGTAGAGGACTACAACGCATACGACTATGCCATCGGTCACGTGTGAGAACGTGCGCTACAATGGCAACGCATGACGTCATAAATATGGTGACGTCACGTGAGTTAATCGCCCTATGCAACTGAAGTATTGATGGAAAGATATCAAACGCTGAGATTCGGATAAAATGACATTTCGCGTCGCTTTTAACGATAATACAAATACAGACCGACCAGCAGAATGAGTTAATTTACTGATGTTACCGATCGAGAAAGTATCAGCGAACATCCATTCAGTCAATTTGTGCTGAAAAGTTCTGATTTCCCTGACGAGTGGCGAGGGATCATCGTAAATGTGGAATGACTATTGACTTACAAAATTAGACAACGCAAATTCATATAAGATGTTGATACAAACACAAATGATTTTGTAAAAGTTAACTTGAAAATATTACATTATTTGGAATTATGATGTTGCATTATTCATAATTGGACTTGAAGATATTAAAAGTAGCTCATTCGTTATTATTTTATCATAATTAGGTTTGATTTATTGATAATTACTTTGGTATAAAGTAAAAATAGCTTTGCAAACTGTCCCAGCTCGAGCCAAGGCAGAAAGTTAATTATTTAAATATTACGATTGTCACTGAACGGTCGCACGACTAAAAAGTCGAATTTTTTATAACTTTTATTTTTAGGATACCACGAAAAAGTGTACAATCTTTATCATGTTTATGAATATAGCCGATAGCTTAGTTCAACGATCCGGATAAAATTTATTACGAGTATAATTGGTTAAACTATTCGCTCAGTGATCATAAGATATGTGATAAAAATCATGTGTTCTTTGTCAAAACATGTCATAATAATGATTGCGACAGCCAAATCATAGAATTTGATACAAATTTTATGTTTTTGTTGATTCGATTAGTTAACTGTTAACGCAAAATTGGAGTATGTTTTTAAACTTAATTTCGATACTAACGCTATTTTGTAAAATATGAATGTAAATAGGGACTAGTTTAACCACCTACTAGATAAAATTGTCGTTCAGGTCAACTAAAATCGACAAATATTTAATATGGTCAAAATTTAATATGGTCAAAATAATAATTATCAAAATTTCCATAAATTTTAATATATGGTCACAGTAAAAGTATATTAGCATGCCGATTAACTTTTCTCCCGACCCCGAGCGTTGGATTTTAACCAAAATAACTTGGAGCAGCATTTTATCGTAACGTCATTCTAACAGTGCGTTACGGCTAAACTTTTTTACTTTTTTTTGGAGATGGTTGTACAAATTATTTAATTTGAATTGGGGTACCGCTTGAAATTTAATGTTTATTTACTTTGATTGCCGATATTGGTTTATTTATATTTTATTTAAGTGCTAGTACTAGTAAACCAGAGTTTTATTGTTTTTTATCCGTGCGATGGAAACGAACTTTTAAGAGAACCGAAATTTGCTCGATCGCTATTTTTTGCCCTACATTTCAGCAATCGGCCGGCAAAATTTGCATCAATGTAACAAAAGTAAAATTCGAGTAGGTCTAAATTGTTGGATACTGATGATATTGTGGTTATAAATTATAGGAAAAAAAGTCCGCTTATCTTCAGGTCGAGCGATGCGCTAGTTGAATGTTGAAGCCTAGATTAAAGATTATTTACATTCGATTAAGTCTAATTTAAAATTGTAAGCCAGTGGTGACAATTAAAAATACATCTTTTCATTAAAACATGTTTTGAACTATCTGATAAAAATATTATACACAAGGAAAAGAATTAACTAACAAGCAAAGAGTGTACAAAAGAATTAGTTATAGTATTGATACTTGCACATTGCACATTACATATTATGTTAATTTGACATAAACACAGAATATTTAACAGTATTAGATAAGTCGTAAAAAATAATGCTATAGGTTTGGTGAGTTTGATAACATTTCATCCAGCGATTGGTTTACAAGAAAAGGGCCAAAGAAAATGTGTACAGAAGTTTCAACTTGAAATTAGCAAATAGAGTGGAAATAGTGTGAAGGAAATGACAAGCGACAAAAAACCATCAACAATTAAGTTCAGACCATCATAAAAATAAGTTCAGACCATCATAAAATTAAGTTTTAATTGAATACAAGTTTAAGTTTTAAACAGCTCCTATACCTACAAAATTTCTGTATTTTGGTTTAAAATCTCAGTTATAAACCGCAGCCAAACACAATGTTATTACCATACGAGCTTGAAATCACCACATCTGGCCAAAAAGTCTCTATTAATACTCAGGAAAAGTCTCAACCAGTCAATCGGAAAGTCTCAACCGGAAAGTCTCAACCTAATGTTTGTCAGCGGATTTGTTAAGGTTGTAGTAAACCCCCCTCATGGCTATCAGTTCCGCATGAGTCCCACTCTCCACAACTGAACCCTCTTGGATGACACAGATGAGATCTGCTGTCTGGATGGTTGAGAGTCTGTGGGCAATCACCAGACATGTTCTGCCTTCACGTGCTCTGTCCAGAGCTTCTTGTACGACCTGGGGATAATCAGGGCTACAGACTTGTTCTCAATACAAACATTGTGATACTAATTTAGGAGCTGTAGATCTGCTCAATTTGAAAATAGTGCTTCTTTATTTCTTCTTTTTTATATTAGATAAAACTGTAACAATTCCGCAGCATGTTTTATCAGAAAATCACTTGATCATCATCTTACCTTCTCGCTCTCGTTATCTAGTGCACTGGTTGCCTCGTCTAGGAGCAATATCTTGGGGTTCCTAACTAAAGCCCGAGCAATGGCTATTCTCTGCTTCTGTCCTCCTGAGAGTTGCGTTCCCTTTTCACCGACACGTGTATTATACCCCTGATATGGTGAACAGTGAGTTGGAATATTAAATTTAAAGTTTAGATTTAATTTGATTCAAATACCCAAGTACTAAAAACACAGACACCAACTAATACTATGAATACTAGTACTATGAATACAAGAGTAATTCTGTGTGATTCACATCAGGAAGAGACAGGATGAAGTTGTTGATGTTAGCAGCGATAGCAGCTCTCCGGACTTCATCCTCTGTCACCGTTCTGAAGAGAGCTCCGTACTTTATGTTCTCTGAAAAAACCTCAGTTAACAGCTAGCAATTTTGTTACGTAAATGAAAGATATGTGGCAATGAACTCACCCATCTTCATAATGTAATCCTGCTCATTGACCTGTGATTTCAACGGATATGTTCAACTACAAACTGTACTGACCCTCAATGGAGTAGTCGAACAAGATAGGTTCCTGAGAAACAAGCCCCATCTGTTGTCTCAGATGCGCTACGTTAATCTCTCTGATGTCAATGTCATCGATCGTCTGAGAGTGGAAATTGTTTATTATGAAAAAATCAAGTTTATAATTCCATTGTTTTCCTCGAAATAACCTTGAAATAACCTTGAAATATGAGCCAAGCTTAGCACTAGACGGTTAAAATTACCCTATCAAGTCCCTGTGTCAGATCATTTTAACAAAATCAAGCTATTACTAAATCGAGTGACATGGTAATGAAAATATGGTTGTGTTCACGAGCGCAAAGGTTACTTCCAAGTGCGGATTTGTTTCAGTTTATTGTTTCTATTCACCGCATTTAACTCATTAACCGGGTCACCAGAAGCGCCGGATTAACTGCCCAGCTTTAAAATGCCATCCACAGAAATGGACAATATTTAATGGTGATCGTACAGCCAACATGAAATACGAGCTTTGCTACCGTTTCTTAAGTATACTTATCTGCTAACCCAAGCCTAATTTCGCCGAATTCGGTATTTTCGCCAATTATAAAATATCACCAAAATTTTATGTGATTCCGCTCTAGATATTTAATTTACTAAGGTGTGATATCCACTGTAACTAACCACATTGCCGTCGAGGACATCATAGAACCGTTCTGAAAGTTGCACTGAGGTGGATTTTCCACAGCCACTTTGCCCGACCAAGGCGATTGTCTTGCCTTTGTCCACCTTGAACGAGAGACCTGAAAAAATACGATATGCAGTGGTACGCCTATAATCATAGGCGAACTGTGAACGGACTGAAAAAGTTCGCACACTAACTTTTAGCCACTCTCTATTATAATTGCAATAAATAAAATATTCAGAATATTCATCGAATTTATACCTTTCAGAACAGGCAGGTCAGGTCGTGAGGGGTAGTCGAATTTGACGTTGTCGAACCGGAGAAGTCCTTTAACTTCAGGCTGAAATACGGTAATTATTATAACGATGATACACAGGGGTGTTAGGTTAAAGCTTGTTTGAACAAATAAACCAAAACAGATTTTGAATTCGGAATATAATTGACGAAAAACTTAAACAACAGCTCGTAAAACAATTAGTCTGAAGATTGTTGTTATGTACCACAGGTCCGTATAGCCGGATTTAAGTTACGGAAAAGCCAGCGGTCAGCTATCGGATTATAGCGGATATATATCGGAAACTAGCGGAAGATGGCGACTGGCGTGCGCCTAGCCATGTAGCGGAGACGCGCTAAAATGCTGCATTTATACCTAGCGGATGGCTAGCGGAGTATTATATAGCGTACGTGACCGATGTATAATTTAACGCGCGCGCTGCGTGCATGTTGATATATAATATATATATATATATATTATATTATACAGTTATTGCATGCATCTTCTCAGCGCCATGTTTATCAAGACTGAAAAGACCGCGCGCTACTACGAGTTAGTACAGTGAGGGATGTATTCTCAAAATATGCAGAAGACGTTTCCCTGAATTATGTAGGGGATTTTGTAGGGGATTTTGCGCGTCGCACGTACGTTACAATATTTATAATTGTAGCATTTACGAGGATAAGATTTTAGAGGTCTCACTAAACTGCTCGTATTTAGACACAATAAGATATAAATATAACCGATAACTAAATAACACATCCAACCCCACTCAGGCCGCCCATCCCAAAATAGCTGAAGTCCCCTAAAATACAGACTGAGAATCTTTACCCCTATAGGGGATTTAAGTTCCGTGGTATTTGGAACATGATTTGGTGATTAGATATGAAGAACCTGACCCAAACATTCATAAAAACCAAGTTTCGACCTCTTGACCCACTCAGGCAACTCCCAGGAACAATGCGCAACTATTTGTGGGGGATTTGGAAGCCGTGTCAAATCCCCTACAAATCCAGACTGAGAATCTTTACCCCTGTAGGGGATTTATGTTCCGGGGTATTTGGAACATGTTTAGGTGGTTAAATAGTTATTACCTGTACCAAACCATCAGAAAAATCAAGTTTCGACCTCCCAACCCACTCAGGCCACACCCAGGGGCCACGCCCATCCCAAAATAGCTGAAATCCAGGTAAAATAAAGATCGAAAATCTTTACCCCTGTAGAGGATTTTAAATGTTCCGGGGTATTTGGAACATGTTTAGGGTTTTAAATAGTTAGTACCTGTCCCAAACCATCAGAAAAATCAAGTTTCGACCTCCCAACCTACTCAGGCCACTCCCAGGGGCCACGCCCATCCTAAAATAGCTGAAATCCAGGTAAAATCAAGATTGAAAATCTTTACCCCTGTAGGGGATTTATGTTCCGGGGTATTTGAAACAGGTTTAGGGTTTTAAATAGTTAGTACCTGTCCCAAACCATCAGAAAAATCAAGTTTCGACCTCCCAACCTACTCAGGCCGCTCCCAGGGGCCACGCCCATCCCAAAACAACTTAAATCCAGGACAAATCAATATTGAAAATCTTTACCCCTGTAGGGGATTTATTTTCCGGGGTATTTGGAACAGGTTTAGGGTTTTAAATAGTTAGTACCTGTCCCAAACCATCAGAAAAATCAAATTTCGACCTCCCAACTTACTCAGGCCGCTCCCAGGGGCACGCCCATCCCAAAACAACTTAAATCCAGGACAAATCAATATTGAAAATCTTTACCCCTGTAGGGGATTTATGTTCCGGGGTATTTGGAACATGTTTTTGTGTAAAAATGGGTAGTACCTGTCCCAAACCATCAGAAAAATCAAGTTTCGACTTCCCAACCCACTCAGGCTACTCCCAGGGGCCACGCCCATCCCAAAATAGCTGAAATCCAGGTAAAATCAAGATTGAAAATCTTTACCCCTGTAGGGGATTTATGTTCCGGGGTATTTGGAACAAGTTTAGGTGGTTAAATAGTTATTACCTGTCCCAAACCATCAGAAAAATCAAGTTTCGACCTCCCAACCTACTCAGGCCACTCCAAGGAACAATGCGCAACTATTTGTAGGGGATTTGAAAACCGTGTCAAATCCCCTACAAATCCAGACTGAGAATCTTTACCCCTGTAGGGGATTTATGTTCCAGGGTATTTGGAACAGGTTTATGGGTTTAAATAGTTAGTACCTGTCCCAAACCATCAGAAAAATCAAGTTTCGACCTCCCAACCCACTCAGGCCACTCACCAACCCACTCAGGCCACTCCCAGGGGCCACGCCAATCCCAAAATAGCTGAAATCCAGGTAAAATCAAGATCGAAAATCTTTACCCCTGTAGGGGATTTATGTTCCGGGGTATTTGGAACAGGTTTATGGGTTTAAATAGTTAGTACCTGTCCCAAACCATCAGAAAAATCAAGTTTCGACCTCCCAACCTACTCAGGCCGCTCCCAGGGGCCACGCCCATCCCAAAACAACTTAAATCCAGGACAAATCAAGATTGATAATCTTTACCCCTGTAGGAGATTTATGTTCCGGGGTATTTGGAACATGTTTTTGTGTAAAAATGGGTAGTACCTGTCCCAAACCATCAGAAAAATCAAGTTTCGACTTCCCAACCCACTCAGGCCACTCCCAGGGGCCACGCCCATCCCAAAATAGCTGAAATCCAGGTAAAATCAAGATTGAAAATCTTTACCCCTGTAGGGGATTTATGTTCCGGGGTATTTGGAACAGGTTTATGGGTTTAAATAGTTAGTACCTGTCCCAAACCATCAGAAAAATCAAGTTTCGACCTCCCAACCCACTCAGGCCACTCCCAGGGGCCACGCCCATCCCAAAATAGCTAAAATCCAGGTAAAATAAAGATCGAAAATCTTTACCCCTGTAGGGGATTTATGTTCCGGGGTATTTGGAACAAGTTTAGGGTTTTAAATAGTTAGTACCTGTCCCAAACCATCAGAAAAATCAAGTTTTGACCTCCCAATCTACTCAGGCCACTCCCAGGGGCCACGCCCATCCCAAAATAGCTGAAATCCAGGTAAAATAAAGATCGAAAATCTTTACCCCTGTAGAGGATTTATGTTCCGGGGTATTTGGAACATGTTTAGGGTTTTAAATAGTTAGTACCTGTCCCAAACCATCAGAAAAATCAAGTTTTGACCTCCCAACCTACTCAGGCCACTCCCAGGGGCCACGCCCATCCTAAAATAGCTGAAATCCAGGTAAAATCAAGATTGAAAATCTTTACCCCTGCAGGGGATTTATCTTCCGGGGTATTTGGAACAGGTTTAGGGTTTTAAATAGTTAGTACCTGTCCCAAACCATCAGAAAAATCAAGTTTCGACCTCCCAACCTACTCAGGCCGCTCCCAGGGGCCACGCCCATCCCAAAACAACTTAAATCCAGGACAAATCAATATTGAAAATCTTTACCCCTGTAGGGGATTTATGTTCCGGGGTATTTGGAACAGGTTTAGGGTTTTAAATAGTTAGTACCTGTCCCAAACCATCAGAAAAATCAAATTTCGACCTCCCAACCTACTCAGGCCGCTCCCAGGGGCCACGCCCATCCCAAAACAACTTAAATCCAGGACAAATCAATATTGAAAATCTTAACCCCTGTAGGGGATTTATGTTCCGGGGTATTTGGAACATGTTTTTGTGTAAAAATGGGTAGTACCTGTCCCAAACCATCAGAAAAATCAAGATTCGACTTCCCAACCCACTCAGGCCACTCCCAGGGGCCACGCCCATCCCAAAATAGCTGAAATCCAGGTAAAATCAAGATTGAAAATCTTTACCCCTGTAGGGGATTTATGTTCCGGGGTATTTGGAACAAGTTTAGTTGGTTAAATAGTTATTACCTGTCCCAAACCATCAGAAAAATCAAGTTTCGACCTCCCAACCTACTCAGGCCACTCCAAGGAACAATGCGCAACTATTTGTAGGGGATTTGAAAACCGTGTCAAATCCCCTACAAATCCAGACTGAGAATCTTTACCCCTGTAGGGGATTTATGTTCCGGGGTATTTGGAACAGGTTTATGGGTTTAAATAGTTAGTACCTGTCCCAAACCATCAGAAAAATCTAGTTTCGACCTCCCAACCCACTCAGGCCACTCACCAACCCACTCAGGCCACTCCCAGGGGCCACGCCAATCCCAAAATAGCTGAAATCCAGGTAAAATCAAGATCGAAAATCTTTACCCCTGTAGGGGATTTATGTTCCGGGGTATTTGGAACAGGTTTAGGGGTTTAAATAGTTAGTACCTGTCCCAAACCATCAGAAAAATCAAGTTTCGACCTCCCAACCTACTCAGGCCGCTCCCAGGGGCCACGCCCATCCCAAAACAACTTAAATCCAGGACAAATCAAGATTGATAATCTTTACTCCTGTAGGAGATTTATGTTCCGGGGTATTTGGAACATGTTTTTGTGTAAAAATGGGTAGTACCTGTCCCAAACCATCAGAAAAATCAAGTTTCGACTTCCCAACCTACTCAGGCCGCTCCCAGGGGCCACGCCCATCCCAAAACAACTTAAATCCAGGACAAATCAAGATTGATAATCTTTACTCCTGTAGGAGATTTATGTTCCGGGGTATTTGGAACATGTTTTTGTGTAAAAATGGGTAGTACCTGTCCCAAACCATCAGAAAAATCAAGTTTCGACTTCCCAACCCACTCAGGCCACTCCCAGGGGCCACGCCCATCCCAAAATAGCTGAAATCCAGGTAAAATCAAGATTGAAAATCTTTACCCCTGTAGGGGATTTATGTTCCGGGGTATTTGGAACAGGTTTATGGGTTTAAATAGTTAGTACCTGTCCCAAACCATCAGAAAAATCAAGTTTCGACCTCCCAACCCACTCAGGCCACTCCCAGGGGCCACGCCCATCCCAAAATAGCTAAAATCCAGGTAAAATAAAGATCGAAAATCTTAACCCTGTAGGGGATTTATGTTCCGGGGTATTTGGAACAAGTTTAGGGTTTTAAATAGTTAGTACCTGTCCCAAACCATCAGAAAAATCAAGTTTTGA